AAATATCAAACTTATAATTTTCATTTTCATGACAACCTGAAATGGAAAAAAAAAAAATTGAGGATAATTTGAGATTGAAGAAGATACAAAGGATTTTGGAGGTGATGCAAAATAGCAATCACCTTGGTGCTTAATTTGAAGCGAATCAGCAGAAGTAGAACATGTCATTTTAGCTGACACAACCATTAATATAGAACTTGACAAGCAAACACCCAAAAGCGATACTTTTTGCTGTACAACTGAAATATTGCAAATTGCCTACATCATTGCAAAAACAAGAAACATATATGCATGGTTGTAATTACTAATTAGGGGGAGCCTATCGCTTCTGTTCTGAACGTACTTTCGAAGTTCATTTTGCAGCCATAAGTGCATGTTGTAACAATTTGGTTCTATAACATATTTTGGCAAATTTACGGAGCGGCAAAGGAACAAACTATGCCCTTTAATGGTAGATTTTTACAAAGTTATCATGCAAACGAGTCCAGGATATTTTCCCCATAAATGGACTTCAAAACATGGTAGTAGAACTTGAGAAACTGAAGGCGATTTGAGGATGCTGTAGACATTATTGTTTTCGATAGCAGAAAGAGCAAAATTTTCACACGTCTATATATGTTGCCCTTTTCAAATGTAACAGGTTACAAAGTTGAAGCCATGGAAGGTTAGTCACAGTTTTACTCGTCAATCACAGGGTGTTCTTATGTTTTGAACGTATAATACCAAACGAAGAAAAATATATAAAGAGAGGAATTTACTTGGGTAACAAGAAGGGACAGATTTTCCTACTAAAGTTCACTGATGACGACAACAACAGCAGGTCAATTCTTCCCTGCAAGACTTGGACAGGAAGAAAAATAAATGATTTACTTAGTCGAACAGAACTAGGAGAAGAAAAAGAAAAATATTCCAGCTGCCACAGAATTATTAGTGGTGTCAACGGGTTGGTTTCGGATTAGAATTGAACATTGCGGACCTAGACCCTTTTTATTTAGTAGACTCGGACCCAACTCGTATATCTTACGGGTCTTGATTTTAGAGTTCCGAAATTGGATCCGACGGTCCCGAGTCAGATTCGAGTATATTCGGAAAGAAAATGTCCAAACTTAAACATTCTAAAATTAAATCCAAAATTAATCACAAATTCAATCTCCAAATTTAAACAAATCAAATTACAAAGCTAAATCACAAATAACTCGCAATAGTCAATCTAAAACTAACCACAAATCAATCGACAAAGTCATTACTAAATTGTTAATTTGGTAAAAGAATGTATTTAGAAATATTTATATTTTAAAATTATTCATATATTGTTCGAATACCGGTCGAAATCCTATATTCTGTATCCTACCCTTTTTTGTTAGAATAAACGGGTATAGGTCCGAGTTCGGATCCAGGTATCGAAATTATATTTTAATCCAAACCCAGAAAAATTGATCGAATACGGGTCGGGTCTAGATCCAAACTCGACCCGTTGACACCCTTACATAGGGATTAACAGAAGGAAACGAAAAAAACAATGATTCGTCCCATATTTTTGACAAAATCTCATAGGCCAAGTCACTCTGCTTGATTTCATTGATCTCCAAGCGTTTTTCTTCTCTTGTTTGGATTGCAATTTTTTCGAGTTTTTGTATAAAATGTATTATAGCAATTTGATATAAGTGAGGTAAAAAGATTATTGGAAAATATGTTCACAAAAAACGTAAAAAATTTTTGATGAAAAATGGCAACTCATATAATTTCCTTCAAATTCCTCATTAATATACTCCATATGAGGAATTTATTGATGTCATAATCAGCCACCTTTTTTTTATATCCAAAAAAAAAATCATCAAATTGGTTTTCACTCCTCTCAAGTTCATAATTTATAGGTTGTTCCAATGACTAAACGCACAAAAGTTTGAGCTTAGAATAAGGGCTTGGGGGTCTTTTGTTACACGTCTTCATGTTACATTATGTTACACATCTTTTGTTAGAATAAGGGCTTGTCTTGTCTGAGACTTTTACATGTAGTACCTGTATAAGCCAAGAATGTTGTAATTTTAGGGATATAGAAAACGAAATTCGAACCAATCGTCGTGATACGATATGTTGGATTGGGGTAATGTAAAATTTCTTATAAACATGGCAACGTTGGTTTGGAAAGATATATGAATATTGATGTATAGGGGTCTTTATAGTTTTAAACAATCTATGTGAGGTAGTTATGTGAACCTCAATAACATTAGTTTTTCAAATTTTTTTAAATTCATAATTGAATCTTTTTTTTTTTTGGAAAGATATAAATTTCTCAACAGACCTACACTACAACTTCCTAGTAAAAAATTAAAAAGAAAAACTAGGTCCATTTTGATTGCGGGTTTTGATTTCAGAACCCAAAATCAGCCCAATCATTTTGGTCGAGGCTTTTCCCTCCTCACACTGGGCTATCTAGGCCAAGTTTGTGGTAGATCCCATTGATTGACCAATGCATGGGACAGGCTAAAACACAAAGCATACATACCAAGATAGCCCAATCACAAACCCACTAAACGGCTATTGGGCAACAAGAAGATTAAACGGATTTCGCAAGTAAGATTATCCTTGGCAATTTAGCTTCCCATTATTTATAGCTCCTCCAACAATTGCAGGAAACTATTCGCTGGAAAAAACGAAGGCTCTGTTTGGATTGTAAATTATTTGAGATATTTTTACTGTAGCACTTTTTGTGATGTGATGTCTGTGAGATAAAAAGGTAATTGGGAAGATAAAAAGGTGCGTTGGAAATTGTAATGATGATATAAGCAAATAAATTTTGGCTAATAAATCTCTATCCAAACAAACCCTTCGGGTTACAAAGCAAACAATTGTAATGGGAGCAGAATAAGGGTGTTTCGCGAATCGAGCTGCTCTCGAGCCGATCACGAGCGGCGCGAATACGAGCTCGAGTCGAGCTCATCAATATCAAGCTTGAGTCGAGCTCGAGCTAATTAATTCGATCTCGAGCTCGAGCTAAAAAACATTGAGCTCGTTGGCTCACGAGCTCAATTATATATATAATTTTTATTTTTTATTTTAATAGTGAAATTACATATATATCTCTAATATTTTATTATTTGTTAAAAAAATTATTGTTTTATTCATTTTAAAAAATAAATAATTATTTTTTATTTTTTTTAAAATAAAATAATAATAATTATTTTTTTATTTTTTAAGCTCGAGCTTGAGCTTGATATTTTGAGCTCGTCGAGCTTGAACTCGAGTTCGAGCTTCACAAAATTAACTCGAGCTCGACTCAAATTCGGCACGTTTGCACCCCTAAAGCAGAATGACCAGAAAACTCAATCTCAATCATCAGAAGGAGCAAAAGAAGCTGATGGAAGTTGAAGACCTCCTTAAATACTTACCTATCGTATCATAAAATTTTGACATAATCTGCGAGGCCAACCATCTGCTGCATTTCATTGATTTCATCTCCTAAATAAATTGAGAGCAAAGCCTTTAGTGTTTCCGGTTCGATTTCCTGTATTAATTGTTTTACGTAAAAAAACATTGTTGGCATATTAAATCAAGACTCAAAAATAGAAATTTGAATATTATTGTTTAGCAGTTTTTCAATCAAGTTAAGGTTTTAAAAATTCTATTTTTTTTTTACTTTTTTAAAAAAGTGTAAGTCGGAGATTTCGAATTCGAGAATTTTGACTTACATTCCCTTTTTTCGTATCACTCAACTCATCCCTTCCCCCAATTAATAATTCTAATTGAGTCAAATTATAGTAATTTTATTATTTAGAAGGGATAATTTCAAAAACCTCCCTTGAGGTTTCTGACAATTTCACTCGACTCCCCTTAGATTTAAAAAATTACACTTATCTCCCTTGACATAGTAAAATACCTATAATGCCCTCCACTTGGTAGACAATTTTAAATTTACGGCAATAAATTTACAAAATCCAAAAAAATCCAATTTTTTGTCTCTTATTTATTTTCACTCCTCTCTTTTCTAATTAATATAACATCTTTGTATTATTTTCAATTTTGTGGATATTAGCCAATTGAAATTACAAAATCAATAGAAAGAGTAGATTATGTGTCAAATTAGAAGGAAATAAAGAGACTCGTAGTGATACAAAAATAAATAATGAAATTGATGAAATTAGAAGAACTAAAGATGTAGAATTTGTCATATTTTGTTTTTTCTCAAGAAAATCTTTTATAAAATGTCAATAATTACATAAGAATTTCTTTCACTGGAGTAGAAATTTTTTATTATGGAAATAAAATTTATTCTCTACTTTTGAGATATTAAGATTGATAACGCCATAGGATGGTTATAATGGCAATTCTAAGTCAGACTAGCTTGTATTAAAAAGGTATTTAAGCATTGACATTTAATTTTGGGGTACAACTGGTTGTCAATGGGGTTTGTGTGTGTATTTTTTTCTTTTTTCTTTTTTTGCGTGACAAGCATTGATACTGTATATGCAATTTGAAATTTTTTAATTGGTTATTTGGTTTTAAAATTTATGTTTGAATGATTATTAGGAATTAGTGTTGTTGATTTATGTAAAGTATGAAAAAAATGATTGAGTATACTATATTTTTTTTCTTAGTTTTATACAAAAGGGCAATTTAGGATTTTTATAAGAAAATCTATCTTATTGAACCTACATTGTTACTAAACATTAAAAGTAAGGGAGGTATATATAATTTTTAAAACCTAAGTGAAGCTCTCTATAATTGTTAAAAACCAAAAGGGAGGTTTGTGAAATTATCCCTATTTAGAAATTGGTGTTTCCTATCACTCAACCCATCCAAGTTTCAGACATCTATAGATGTATCTATAGAAGTATAGACCTATCTATAGATGTATGAAATCACATTTTCATACATCCAAGTTTTTATTTTAAATTTTTATAGGGACTGTTTTTTTTTTTTTTTTGGGTGTTTGGTACAAATAGGGATAGAGCTGGTTAACATTAAATACAATACAGAAGGAATGCTCGACTTCTTGTTCGTTAATCTGCATAACTCTGACGAAATTGAACTATATTCTCTGCGTCGATCAAGTTTAGGAACTTAAGTTTCAATTAGCTACACGAGTTGAATCCCATACATCACAAAGCAGATTAATTCCGCAAAATCTTTGAAGCAATCTGTAATTCCAAATTGTAGAAGGTAAAAGATGAAATCAAATGCAGTAGTAGCTCATAATTGGCTAGTCATAGCTGACGCAAATCCGAAATCCTTCTTCATGGACGTGCAGAAAGTATTGATTCTAGGAGTAGTATAAGGCCCCTCAAGTAAACCTTTGGCCATAAATCTATATGCGGCTTCTGTAAGGTGAATGCCATCCCAACTGATATATAGAGAAGGCCAAGCACAAGCAGTAGACGCTGGTTCTCCACATTGCGCTGAAAAATTATAATTGTAAGGGGGACCTCCATCGCCGCAACAGGCCATAAGCGATCTTCCTCCGAAACCTGAAAAAGGGGTGGTCAGGGAATTGAGTCTCCTACATACAACTATCACGATATCAACTTACCGTAATCAGAATGATGATGAAGATGATAATTATACGAATAATACAAGGAAAAATCACATGCCTAGATGTCGTTGTTTCGTACTTTAATTGGATTCTCTAGTTTGGAATTGAAACAGTGCTATATATCTACATCTGAAAGAGATCAAACAGAGAATCTAGGAATTTCATTTTGGCCGGTGATTTCTTTAATTGGTTTCTCCTTTGGACGGTGAAAATGTTGTTTCCAAAATCATTGAGATACATTTCCTTGAGGTATCAATTTGGGTGCCAAAAGAGCCCGTGATCCCGATTTTGACCAAATTGATCCGCCTTTGTTTAACAAGCAATTTGCAATATCAGTTGCATTAAACCAGGAATAATGGAGTTGAGAATTACCGTTTTGTTCCGGAGAACGAAAAAGCTGCATCAGAGGATTGAAATAATCGGCATACAATATGAGTGCATCTGGGTGATTTGCTCGAACTCCATTCAGCTCTTCTTGAAGTAGTTCATTGTGATAATTGGAAAAATCGTTCAACCAACTCAGGCAGCCTGTTGCTGTATCATAATCTTCTTTGTTTGAACTCTTGAAATAGGTTAACATCGCTGGCGAGCATCCATCAGGCAATAGACCATTCACCATTATGTTTACCACTCCCAGGTCTATCAATTCCTACATCAGGAGCTCCCCAAAAAAAAATTAAAATCCTCCGTCAGGAATATAAATCAATATCATGCACATACTAGCCCTTTAACCATGTAACGTTCGTGAAAGAAAGAATCCCGAGTTAAAGAGTGGCAACGATGCAATGTAGCATAAGACCAGAAAAGAATGCCTAAAAGTTTTTTTTTTCCCCAGCAAACAACACTGAAAAGATTCTGGAGCTGAAATGTTGTTAGAAAAAGAAATGTGCAAGTCAGAATGCTGCATAGCGCCGTGAGGTGTTGAAGGTGGCAAACCTGACTAAATATATATATATTTTTTCTTTTAGTTGTTCCCTTAAGAAAGAGAAAAAAAAAAGTAGAACTTTGAGCAATAAAAACAAATAGGGAAAAATTCTTACGTTAATGGCAGACCTAGTGGCACTAATAACCAAAGGAACCAAGGATTTTGTCTCCTCCAAGCTTTTTCCTTGCAGAAATGCTTTGCCATAATCGTTGCCACCGAATCCCATAAGAAAGAGCGAGCTTTTGAAAACTTCGCTACAGCCTGCGAATGACTCCCCCATGAGCTATTAACGTTAATTTTCAAAGCCATTAATAAATCAGTAACTCGAGAACCTCTCAAATAAACCTTTGGCTTTGGACAGCACACCATCTGAGTCAGCTCAAAAAAATTTTGATACACACTATGCATTTCCACTTAAATACTTCAATATCCTGTTTTGAGTTGGATTGGGATTATTTTATGCAATTTTCATGGTGCAGTTCATGATTCTGATGTCTTGAATTTTAATTTGGATTGACAGGAGTGCTGGTGGGACATAGCTTTAAATCAATGTTTCACTTTTTACACGTTATTTTATTAGTGTTTATACCTATTGCATTTGTGACGATGCATATACGTACATATTGGAAATCAACAATCCAAGATACACACACCAAATAAGGTTGAGGGTGGCAATTGTCCCCATAGAAGTTCGATGATTATTTGTTTGACTTAGAAATCTTGAAAGTTTTTATATTCGCACCATTTTTGCCAACCTCCTCACCTCTATCTACTCCACCCACTAAATTTTGGAAACTCCTCTCGTCGCTACCTTAAGATGTGTTCGACCATTTCAAATTAAAAGCAGCTGTCACCAAAAAGTATGGAGAATGTGAATTATGATGTTCATAATAAATTTGAGCAAACAAAACAAATTTATTCAATGTATGACATATGCGTCTCCTATCACATCTATCGCTAAATATATTAGTGAGATCGACTAACATTTATGCATTTGTAAGTTTATATATACCCTCCAATTTTGTCTTCTTTTAGACCGCGACTTCATTGGTTACTGGACAGAACCACCGGGGCCACGTTGACAGCGGAGTTTGTGTTTATAAGAAATTGAAGATCATGAGGTCTTCTTCCAAATAAATACACTTTTAATTTGGAAGTTTGGTTTAAACTCGTATTTTGTACATGGGCTGCCCTTACCATAGACTCTCCTCTCTTCCCGTCTTATTTTCGGCATAAAGATGGAGAATGGAATTTTAAAATGTTTGGGGACCAAAATATCATTTACTTGACTCCGTAGGGGAAGTTTTGCCCAAAATTTGGGATGAAAAGGTGAGGTTTCTTTATAAACATCATGGACTACTTCAGCAGTTTTGAGTATTTTGGCTTACAAGCACGTCCGGGGAAAAGAAAAACAACTCATGATTTTTCAGTGAGAGATGTTATATCAGCCGTGTGCCTTTTTTTTTTTTTTTTTTCCCTAAAGGAAGTGTCAATGTTAAGTTATTTAGAAAAAAATCTCTAGGTTTTCTGTGCTATTTGGTAGGGAAAATTAGCAATTTGATCCATTTTATTTAATTTTTTTTAACCTCTCACCTCTCCCTATACTTTTTGGACTTTCAATCATCAAATCTAAAATTCGAACTGTGAACCTAACAATTAAAAGAATTCTAAGAGATCTCTCTCTCTGGATCATTGAGTCAAGGAAATTTTTTGTGGAGATACCCGACCCGAAATTCAGGGGAATTAAAGGAACATGCTGGTCATGTTTATAACACGAAATTGGTCAATCTCCCCTAGCACGTTGAACCTCGTTCAACTTGCGGGGTCATATTTCCCTCTAAACTGATTCTTTGGATTTTAATGCATATGTCTCTTTTTTTTTAAGTAAAGATTAATGCATATCTTGGAAAGAATAGAAAAAAAAAAATAATACGTGGCTGTTGATGTCTAATGTGTCATGTCATACAACCACCATAGGACACCGACCGTAGTACATGCATGCCATTTCTTTCTGACAGTTTCTTACGAAAGTAAGAATTTTTGGAGTACATGGCAGACATAAATTTGAGCAGAAAATATCCGACACATCTTGCACGTGGCTACTTTATTTTTGCTTTTTTGACTCTTCAACTCATGAGCTTATTGATTTGGTATAATAGTCCTAAATATTTTTTTAAAAAAATAATAATAAAATAAAAAAAAAACACCTGATCTCCAACGAATTGCATATTTAGATGGTAAACATTGGAAAATCATGCCATATCAACTTAAAATATGCGTCGTTCTCAATCCCTAAACATCTTTAAGCCTTTTTTTTTTTTTTTTTGTTCTTTGAGGATAATAAAAAAAAAGATAAGAATTCTCGTCCAACACGAGTAGCTGGGCTTTGAAACCATTTTTCCGTCTGGACAAGAAATACTTACTTGAGGAATTGCAAAGAGATGGCAGCAGCCCTTTGAACCACCTGAGTTGGGTACTCATAGAGATATTAGCCAAAGTAGAAGAAATTCCTTTTTCTCCATAAAATGGGACGTCAAGTGCTGTAGCTCCTGCAACTGCAAAGTTCAGACCGGCTTGAAACCTTGAGTTGCTTCGATGATTCGCGCCCCTAAGATACGGTGGAACCGGTGGAAGTCCATAGTATTCAGCTGCAAAAGACGACGCATGGATAAGTAAAAGATCACTCCTACTTATGCTAGTTCTTCTAGTACCAAGCCCACAACCCTGGGACGTTTCTACCCCAGTGCCGGACGGCGACAAATATGGCCTGAAGAAAGAACATTTTCTAACTTGGTTATATCCAGCAATGGATTGTTTATGAGTGGGCGAAGCGCAGAGCTACCTATGAAATCGATTATTAGCCGACCATCGGAGCATCGACCTGTTGGGTGATGAAAATAGGTCTCTCCGTAAGGAGGTAAGCCGCAGTAGAGTGTTCCTTTGCTCAGATGAAATATAGGCGGGTAAATGGTCGCGTAATTTCCAGTGTCAGCCAGTGAATCGCCGAGGGCAAAGATTGACGTGAAACAGCCGGAGGCAGTTTTCAGTGAGGACAATAATATGAGAAAGGTGACTGAAAATGAGATGGTTGTTGGAAGAGATGAAGATGATGAAGCCATTTCAAATTGTAAATTGTGGTGGCAGGACTTGCAACCTTGTCTTGTATTTGTTCTGTAGTATTCCTGTTTAGTTTATTTCAAAATTTATGTAGCTTTTCATATATAGCAAAATTTATTTGAAATAATTTTGTAAAAAAAAAATTTTTTAATATTTTTTAGATATGATATATGTGAAATAAAAAAATAATTAAAAAATATATTAATAATACAAGTAAATAAATCACCGTCTGTAAATAAAATATAAATAAAGTAAAGTAAAAGATCATCCAAACACGTTATTATTGAATATTTCTCTTTAATGCTCACTTCGCCACATGTCACTATCTCACCTACTTTTCTTACGTGCTCATAAAGCATGATTCTGGCGGTTGCTTTTCATCAGCGATGACCCTGAAAAGAGGCATTAGATTAAATCCTGCGCATGAGATATATGATTCAGTAATCTTTGTTGACAGTAGACATCTGTTCTTCCTATGATTTTATGCATGGATGATTTTGTATACTACGGGGCTCAGAATCAGTAGACATTCTATTTTGTGCTGGGAAAAACCAAAAACGCAAATTTAGAAGCACAACAGGACACCCCTCGGAAGCAAATGTTAGCAAAGTCAGTTAGCAAATCACCAAACGCATAGATTGATGTGTAACTGAAACAGCCGGTGGCAGTTTCCAATTGGCAGAGGATGCCCCAAGATTGTGAGAATCGTGGTGTACAGAAGAGCTGACGAGGATGAAGCCATGTTAAATTGTGGTGTACGCAAAACTGCCTGACCCACAGCCTTATTTCCTGCTCAGTGGCACTTGCGGGGAAATTTCCGTCTTTGTTTATAGTCAGAACTTGCATGGACCAGTCCATGTCCCCAGTCCCCACACATAGGCCTTGTGGTATCTAAGTAGCCACGTCGTGTTTTGTCTTGTTAATGGGCAATAGTCGGTAGTTGATGGGTTAACAACGCCTATATTCTCTCAAAATAGTCAAGGCAAGATTTTGAAGCAGCAACTGTTCCTCGCCGCCCGCCGTTGCTCATTCCCCTCACCACTCTCAGTTTCAGCTACAATTGACACCATAGCTTCATTGCCTGTGGCTTTCATGTGGCCGAGGCACATTGCGCCACCTACTCTTCAATCATTGTCAAGTCTGTTTGCCCATCCTTGTCAAATCATTGTCAAGTCTAAGACTTTTGCCCACTCTTATTTTCTGTTTCTGGTCCCTAGAAAGTAATTGAATTGAGTCGAGCTCAAATCATTGTCAAGTCTAGGACTTTTGCCCACTCTTATCTTCTGTTTCCGGTCCCTAGGAATCAGGATGTAATTAAATCGAGTTGAACTCAAATATCGTTATATTCGAACTCAACTCGACAATAGAGTAGTACTGTTCGAGTTCTAATAAGTAGCAGAAATGGAGTTTGAACTCGAACTTGAAAAATTATTCGAAAATTCGAGATCGACTCGATTATACTCGATTTTTTTACAAATATATGATCGAGGTCTCGAGTTCAAGATTCTTGTCCACTCCCAAAATTACAGAATATAACTCTTCATGTAAAATAGATTGATACAAGCCCAATTTTTCAATTGAAACAAGTTGGAACATTTGCAATTAATCATAAGAAAGTTCCACGTCCTATCATGCAAAAATGGAAATTCGGAAAAAAAAAAAAATAGTTGCACAAAGTGTTAGTTATAAATTGAGCATAGTCACTGATGATTACATTAACATTTAACAACCAAGTAGCTAGCCTCAAAATAAGAGCCCAAAACAAGAGTAATTTACTACTGCAACAGCCTACAACTTGCAAGTCTTACACAAGATAATATCTTAGTACCAAGTCAACACCAAAACAAATTCAAGGACGTCAGTGGCAATAAACCTCCCAAAACAAAGAGTAATTTACGACTTCATCAGCAACCTACAACTTGCAAGTCTACCCAAGACAATATCTTAACACCAAGCTAGCACCAAAACAAATTCATAGATGAAGCAACAAATGAGTAAAAACAAAGGCAGCAGCAAAAAATGCTCCCATAAAGCGGCCATCCTTAAATATTTTTTCAACTGAAAGCCACGTATTAAAACAAAATTGAATGACTAAACAAGCAAAAATTTAAAAATGATAGACCTGAATCACCTAACTACGCTTTGTCCAAACCATAGTTATTAAATCCGGCGGAGGGACCATGTCAATGGGGTCGCTCGGTGGGTATTAATTTAATATTTATAAGGGATAATTGCAGAAACCTCCCCTGAGGTTTCTGACATTTGCACTGACCTCCCTTGTGATTTAAAAAATTATACTGATCTCCCCTGAGGTTACTAATCCTTTGCAAATTCAGTCCAAACGATTAAAATATTGTTTTAGGGTGAAATTAGAAATTTTTTACCAAATTTGTCCTTTGTACTATATGTCCAATGAATGACAAAATACTACAAATCAATTAACAATTAATAAACTTTAAGGAGTATAGTTCATAGACAAATATGCATTACCTATTTAAAGTACCGGTTCTTCATGGGTATTTTACTTTCAAATATTTAATTTAATATAAATATTTATGCTCAAATACATATTTGTATTTACTTTCAAATATTTAATTTTTGTTAAATATAAAAACTACCAATCTCTCTTCCGTAAAAATATTAATATAACACTTTTTCAATTTTAGTTACAAACATTTATATATTTAACATAAATTAAATGATTCAGAATAAAATACCCATAAAGAGCCAATACTTTACTCATGTAATGGATGAAAACTATAAAGAATTAATACTTTATGGGTCATTTTTTTAAAAAAAAATATTTAATTTATATTAAATAAATAACCTACCAATTTCCTTTTTGTAAGAATATTACTGTAACACTTTTTGAATTTTACTAACAAACATTGATATATTTATCATAAATTAAATGTTTAAAAGTAAAATATCCGTAAAAAACCGGTACTTTAAATGAATAATGCGTGTTTACCTATAAAGAGCCAGTAACTATTTAAAGTACCGGTTCTTTAAGGATATTTTACTTTCAAACATTTAATTTAATACAAATATTTACGCTCAAATACAGATTTGTATTTACTTTCAAATATTTAATTTTTTTAAATACAAAACCTACCAATCTCTCTTCCGTAAAAATATTAATATAACACTTTTTCAATTTTAGTTACAAACATTTATGTATTTAACACAAATTAAATGATTCAGAATAAAATACACATAAAGAGCGAATACTTTACTCGTGTAATGGATGAAAGTCATAAAAAATTAATACTTTATGGGCCATTTATTTTTTTTTAAAAAAATATTTAATTTATATTAAATAAATAACCCTATCGATTTCCTTTTTGCAAGAATATTACTATAACAATTTTTTAAATTTTACTTACAAATATTGATATATTTATCATAAATTAAATATTTGAAAGTAAAATACTCGTAAAGAGCTGGTACTTTAAATGAGTAACGCGTGTTTGTCCATAAATTATACTCTTTAAAATTTATTAATTGTTAATTGATTTATAGTACTTTGTCATTCATTAGATATGTAGCACAAAGGGCAAATCTGGTACAAAATTCTAATTTTATTCTCTAAAATAATATTTTAATCGTTTGGACTAAATTTGCAAAGGATTAGTAACCTCAGGAGAGGTCAGTGTAATTTTTCAAACCACAAGGGAGGTCAGTGCAAATGTCAGAAACCTCAGGGGAGGTTTCTGCAATTATCCCTATTTATAAATATAAAATAGTAATTTTAATATATATAAATACCTAATGGAGTAGTCTTAGATACTAATTATTATCCTTAGAAAGATATAGAATGAATATATGGATATTAATAGAACATTTAATTTCATTTTTATTAAACTTTTAGATAAATAAATAATTTAGTCAAATATAAAACAAAATTGTGATTTATTTGTAGAAATGTAGCATTATTTAAAAAATAACACGTTTCTTAACTACCTTTTAAAGACACTTGCTCAAAGCAAACGGGCTCTAAAGTCGCAGCCTGATCCGCTTGTACCTTCCATGTTGCTTTGCAGCAAGAAGAAATTTCCGCTTAGTTAAAGCCAAAAACAAAATTTGAAGAGGGAATAAATTTCAAACAAAAGCAGAAAAGCAAGAGAAATTCAGCAACAAAAAAAAAAAACATTATTTGGTGGCGTCACCTCAACCAGTTTCATTCTTGGATTAGCGAACATTTACTCTGACAAAACGTCTTAGACAGTGGCTACCTTCAACACTTGGGGAAACTATTCTCTTGGTTAATTATAAAGTGATGAGTTCGAAGCAAGCCAGTTGGCTAGTGTTTATACATGCTGATACGGTAACTGGTAAATAATTTCACTAGACAAGAAATTATTTCTTTCCAAGTTGAGTCTTCCACCTATTTGTAGTAGTTAAATGGTCAGGTTTTCAAGGAGTTGTTTAAGTGAAGTAATTATAACTCAAACCGGCCCATATTCTTGATAATCTTGTCACAAGGATTACCAAGCTGGCTGTCGTTTCCTGTACTCGGTGGTAGAGTCAGGACCTAGGCTCAGTGAGAGCAAGATTGTATACTTAAAATGAAATACAAAAAATTCTTCTGTTGTGGAGTTTTTGTTCTACTTTCTACAATTTTTCTCATTCAAGTAGTAATTACATGTTCTCACTGATAAAAATGCTAGTCCGTCTTCTATTGGGATCCCTTGAAAATGTTGTGGTGACAAACTCCAAGAAGCAAGGTGGGATGACAGATAATGGTGGAAATGAGGTGTTGATGTCCATATGCTGAAAAAGGTTTAACGTCAGAAATTTTTTGGGTGGCAACGGAGCAGCCAAGTACTGGCATGAAAAACGTCTCCTTAAGCTGCCATTCTCTGGACGGAGATGAAAAGGGTTGTCGTGATCAGCTACAAGGAAAATTGGGTTGATGATGAGGATGATGACTTCATGGCAGCAAAAGCAGCTGTTTTAGGTGAAGAACATCGGTGGTTTTTGGTGAAGCTGCAAAGGAGTTGTTGACTAAGAACAACATTGACAAAGGATTTTTGTGGCTGGTCTGCCTTTGATTCCCATGTGTGATAGCCAAAACACGGT